GTCTTAACTCCAGGAACCAAAGTTTTTCTTGCTGGCCATTCTTTTTTAACATAGTGTTGTTTCCTCCCAAACAGTCCTCACAAACAGTCCAGCTTATGATCAGAGTACTTAAGCGTGTTAAGTACCAATTCGAGGTTCTCATAACATTCTTTCAAATGAACTGAAAGTCCTACTGGTACAGATGCATATTGGTTGTCATTGTGGAGAAGAACAGCTTGCAGGCTTCTTTTAGATGAATCAATGAAAATCCTCCGTTCTACGTGGTCGTATTTTATATTGATACACCCAAGGAACATTGTAGGAACATTAGTGCAAAAAACTAGGTCACCCTCTCGAGAGAAAAAAGGCTCAAATTCTTTTTCTCTACTTCTGTATCAAGAGAAGGGTATTTCAGGAGCCAACAGATGTTTTCTTTCAATCTCGACACTAAAACCTCGGCTGAATCTTTTGGAAGGCCTAAGTCTCTAACCAAATCATTTAGTTCCGACTGCTTGAAGAGTTTTGGCTCATTGTAGGTGGGCTCGTAAATACCATCATTGTCGCCGTCATCACTGTTTTGAAACATCTGATCAACGTCATCTAAAATGTTTTCAAATGTAGCTGAAGGACCAGGTACAGGTAAATCAGGCCCATGAGGAACAGAGCACATAGCTGAAAGAATGTTTGGATACGAAATCTTCTATTTATTTTTCAAATTAAAACCTTGCATACAGCAAGAGTAACAGTCATCAGTGTGATTTACAGGTTCTCTCCTTTGCAGATATAGCGAAACAAAATGATTCGCATCTCAGTTCTTCAACATACACAGAACACATTTTGTGAGGAGCCCATTGTTTGTCTTCATCCCCCAGTTTCATACCAAAGTAGGCAAAGTAAACCTTTTTAACAAAGTAGCTAATGGTTTTCTGTTGCTTTTTAACAGTATAAATCCCACAAATGTATCAGAAACAATCAGCAGAGTTCACACAACCTGTAGAAGCCATTTCAAAACACAAAACTAAAACTGACGAAGAAACAGTGAAAGAGTGCTCAGCAGAGTGGTTACATCGACACTGACTACAGACAGTAACTTGACCTTGCAGTGGGGACTTTTGAGCAGACAGAGAGTGCAGGGGGGAGCAGTATAGGTACTGGCAGCAAATCTAGTATGAATCGGATTCTATCAGTTTTACTGTACAGTTTTTTAACAAAAGAAAGGTTGCTAACCTACATTTAGGCTGGTTGCTTTCGTAAAATAACTATAGATTTATTATATAGACAACTATAGCGTGAAGAAATGTTAGGATAGGTCAGTTTTGTTTTCAAACACCAATTATGCCATGAAGGAATGTCGGTTTTCTTTTGACCCCTAATTATACCGTGAAGACACAGCAATTCCCCGAAGACACCCAATGAAGAAATGTTATAGATCAGTTTTGTTTTCTTCTTCTTCTTCTGATCCTTCTTTTTTCTATTGCTCCATCCACCTCTTCCACTCCCTCCAGTTCTTGACTAATTCCTTTATATCTGCTAGAGTCTTCCCTCTCTTCTTCCCAAATTCTGCTATTCTTTCCTCCCACTTCTTTCTAGGTCTTCTCCTCTTTTTCTTATCCTTATTCTTTGCTTCAAATATCTTTTTTACAATTATGTTATGTTCCATTCTAATTATATGGACGTACCAATTTAGTTGTTTTCTCTCTATTTTGCTGATTATCTCCTTTTGATCTAGTCCCATTCCCAGTCTTATTTCATCTTTCCTTATCTTATTCCACTTCGTCTTCCCCACTATTTTCCGTAAAAATTTAATTTCCATTGCTGTGATCTTTCCTTGTTGTTTATCTTGGAGTGTCCATGATTCACTGGCATATGTTAATTTTGAAACTGCCACCGCGTTGTACATTTTTTTTTTGTTTAGAGTTTGATACACATTGTTTGTTTTCCTTATTCTTGCATTTATGTCTAAATCAATCCTTCCATCTTGTGATGTTATACTGCCCAAGTACTCATATGATGATACTTCCTTTATCTTTTGTTCTTTAATACATATTTCTTTTGGGTTATTTCTTATTTCTTTTTCATTTATTATCACGATTTTACATTTTTTTACGTTCAATTCTAGACCCAACTTTTCAATTTCTTCTGTCCATATTTCAACTAACATTCTTGCCTTTTTATGGTTCTCTGCTATTAGCACTATGTCGTCAGCATATAGTAAATTATCTATTTTTACTGGTTCCAATCTTTTATAACCTATTACTGTTTGATATTTATTTGTTTTTGTTCTTATATTTTTTATCTCTGTCCATTAATATTATAAATAACAAGGGGTTTTCAATTATTTTTGTTAGTTTTTGTGGTACCATTAGTTGTTTTAGACACTTCCATATAATACTACGGCTAACCGTATCAAAAGCTGCTTTTAGGTCCAAGATTATTAGGTATAGCTCATTGCCCTCTACTTTCCTTTCGATGATATGTTGGATTAAATGTATCTTATCGTTCGTTTGTTTGCTTGCTCTGTACGCTGCTTGTTCATCATCTAGTTTATTTTCCAATACTCTTCTTAACATTTTTTCTATTATCTTTGTGTATAATTTGTTACTTGTAGATGATAGGTATATGGCTCTGTAATTCCTTTTTTATGTATTGGTAAGATGATATTATCTTCCCAATCTTTCGAGATTGTTTCCGACATCCATGCTCTTTTATTCCCAAATATTTTATCATCTCCGGATCTATCATGTCTTTGCCGCAAACCTTGTCTGTTTTCATCTTCATCATTGCCTCTCCTAATTCATCCATTGTTATCTTTTCAGTTGCTATGTATATAGTGTCTTCCCTTATCTCATCTTCTCTTCCCCCCCTCTATTGTTTGTGTCCGTTTTCCATCCTTGAACTTTTCTGCATCAAAGTCCGCCCATAGTTTTGTTTTCAAACATCAATTATAGCGTGAAGGAATGTCGGTTTTCTTTTGAATCCCAATCATACCATGAAGCAAATATAGCGTGAAGAAATGTTAGGATAGGTCGTTTTGTTTCTGGCTGNTCCTTGAACTTTTCTGCATCAAAGTCCGCCCATAGTTTTGTTTTCAAACATCAATTATAGCGTGAAGGAATGTCGGTTTTCTTTTGAATCCCAATCATACCATGAAGCAAATATAGCGTGAAGAAATGTTAGGATAGGTCGTTTTGTTTCTGGCTGTCAATCACCCCGGAATATAATACTTGATAAGGTTACTATTCAATAAAAGTATGCGAAGAATAAACCAATAGACTTGTGTTCTTATTGCACAGGACAGGAAATCATCAATACGGAAACTTTGCCCATGCAGGATAAGCAGAAAAGCAAAATAATAGCTGCAGAAATGAGGTACCGGGTGGTACAAGATCCGTATAGATAACAAGAGGCTCCCAAAAAGATCTAATACTTCTAAAAAACTCAATACTGCTTTCTGAAGACTAGATACTGTTCTGGAAGATTAAATACTGCTTTCTGAAGACTAGATACTGCCGACAGGTCTAAATACAGCATCTGGAACACTAAATACTACTTTCTAAAGACTAAAATTGCTTTGTGGAGACTAAATACTGCTTTCTGAAGACTAGCTACTGCTGACAGGTCTAAATACTGCAAAAGAAAGATAAGATATTGTTGGAGAAAATATTAAAAAAGGCGCCGGCGCCCCCTTTTAGGCGTCGCCCGGGTGCAGTGCACCCCTTGCTCCCCCCAGTAGCGCCGCCACTGTCTTCGATATTGGAGATGAAGAACAAATTTTTGAAGAAATCAATGAATTATTTCCTATAAGAAGCGAAAGGATAATAAGGAATAGAGTTGACCATTTAAATATTCATTCAGATGTTGAATTTATGACGAGATTTCGTCTTTCGAAAAAAAGTTTTCATCGCCTTTTGAATCAAATAGAAGATGTAATATAACCTCCATCCATGACATAAGTAATTTGTTGATTGCTATTATTTAATGTAAAATTCATCAAAATTTTAGTAATAATGCTGTACCTCCTTCAAACCGTTTGTTGCTGACTCTTCGGTTTTATGCAATGAGTAACATGTTGCTATCCATAGCAGATTTTGCAGGAGTGAGTGTACAATTGGCATCTTCAGTCGTTCATCATGTTAGTTGTGCCATTATTGTTTACCATCACATTTTAACATACAATAATACGAGATATACATACTTTTTGCTTTCCTCGTCATGTAACTGCAACACTTTTTTTGTTTTCTATTACGTTTTTATGTTTGATAACAAATTCAAGAAGATGTTCGCATTCTTCTTTGATGAAATTGGTGTTTCGTCGCCTTTTCTCAGTCTCCATTTCCAAATTTTAATTTTAAGGTTAGAACAGGTCTTTTGACCACATAGAGCTGTCAATTTAACATAATAGACCAAAAAATCCCTAGATTCCTTGATTATCTCAAAGATTTCTTAACTATGGGATAAATGGAGGTGGTAGAACGCACGACCCTGTTATTTACGAGATAAACTGTATCTTATAGATAGCTTAACTGACAGATAGCATTGATTTGGTAGTAACGGGCCTTAAAGATCTAAAACTTTACCCGATAAAGTCGAGACTCCTTGCGGCCGAGGCCCCAGAATATGATAACCACTTTCAGGTTGATATAATCTTAATCCCTGAGAAAGAAGAAGATCTACAACTTTACTTGAAAAAGCAGCAGATGAGCTAGCACGAGAGGGCAGCACTAAAGCATTTGTGGGGCCAGAACCAAGTACAGTGTGTTAATTAATTATCGTACCCGACGTCATAAGTGTAAGTATGCAACCAAATACGCAAACCGCGTATTGCAATACGCATACTGTGATATTGGTTGCATACTTGCAATGATGACGTCTGGTACGATAATTAATTAACACACTGTAATTGGTGTATCATTTGCGATGGCCAAACATAGGATTAGACTGAAGAAAGACTTCGTCTCTCAAGATTATTTTCTTGTTACCCTCAAATTGATGTCTAATACAAAACGTATTATTTTGCTTACCTTCACATTCTTTACCTGTAAACAAAAAATTAAATAATTATTTTAATGTCAATTCCATACTATTATTAACACTTACATGGTTTTATTACCACTTCCACAACATCTGATTCCCCAAGTTCGACATCATCTTCGCCATAAGACACAACAGATACTTCCACATCATCTTTGCAAGATAAATGTTCTATCAACTGAATGACTCCCACCGCGGTGTTCTCATCGACCGTATTGATATGGTGTATTTGACCATTAATCGAGCATTTTATTACAAATCTTATGGGGTTACAATCCTGAGGAGAGTTAAACGTAACAACTATTTGAAATATATCGTAGTAATAATCCGCTTTTAAATTTGTAGCTGAAATATTTCGTTAAATTAGATCGTTAAAAAATTAATTTAGGCTTTTTATCTTTACCTTTGCATCCTTCGTTTTTAAGAAACTGCGAAGTTGCTGTAATGGCGCTAAAAGAACACACTAAAATAACTGCAAGAAGAAAACGCTTCATTTTAGTTCGATTCCAATTTGTTATTTAATCTTGTTAATGCACTTCAATGAATAGTAGATAAAGTTATTTTATAATTGATTAAAAAAATTGCTGATAATGAAATGAAATCAAAAATCAAATAAAAAGTTACTTTAAGTAACGCAAGATAAAGCATCCTTTTGGCCATTATTGGCAACTATCCACGTTTCGTTTCAACTGGAAAGTTTCGAGTCTTGAGACTCTTTATTAAAATCGTCCCCAAAACGAGCATGGTAGCAGATGCTAGAGACATTTGACGACCCATCACGTAACAGTGGAAGAGGCATTCACCGTTACACGTCAAGGGAATTATTGATCTAAATGCAGAAGCGGGTGCCAACCTTGCAATCTCTATAGTTCGTCGTAGCCTCGTACTATGCACTTGGAAAAGCTTCCCCAATACATCCCCCTTAAGGGGAGATGTAGCAGTGGAACCTTTTACTCGCTATTAAGCTCGTTGTTTAGTTTACGCACAATCCAAGGGTGTGAACGAGACTTAATGCGGTGTAAAGGTATCCTGAGGGGGTTTAAACGTTTGAATATAAAATCTTTATGAATTAAACAATCATATTTGTATTGATTTTTCTTTTTAATTTTAAGTTTTGATTTTTTAATGGTTGAGTTGAGGTGGAAAGGAATAAGAATATTGAGGAGCAAAAAAAGGAAAATATAAAATAAAAGTTGTAATGCCCTAGTTGGAAATTTTTCTCTTTGTTCGAAACCGTTCGGGCATAATTCGATTTCTGTCGGTCCTACCATTGTTCGAATTCCATTTTTTTGGCGGAGAAATTCGCGCCTCGCTTTTTCTTAAGTGGCTTTGCTATTCAACTAGATTCAATGCGGCGGAAAAACGAAATAAAATGGAACAAAATTTGAATTGAATTGTTAGTTTCGATGGAAAGTTTCAAAAAATCATTAAAATTCACAATGTTTCTAAAGAAAGAGAGAGAATCATAACAATGATGTTTATGGAAAATGAGAAATTATTATGGCACATTATATCTAAATCAAAATTACTATAAATTGTTTATTATTTCATAATGATATCTCAAATTGCTGGCGTTTTTGCCTCCTACTCTTTCTCTGTCCAATGCTTTGAGGAGGCTTTTGTTGCGTTCGAAGCATCCACTATTTCTTGTTTCTGGAGTAGATACCTCTGGGACATCAGGTTGAGTTTTTGTATAAGAATGATGTAAAACAAGCATAGCCAGTGTGTTCCAAACAATGGCTAAAATACTAATTCCACAGCCTACTGTTTTGTAAATTGCAAGTCCGTTCAGTACTATGCTGAGGACGTATTTTATTAGTCTTATAACAACGTACGTCAGAAAACCATCCCCATATATGGTGAACAGTGCTGTGAGCCAAGTGTTTTAGCTCTTCAGCATTAAATAGTTGAACGGTTGTATACCCTTGATTGTCGGTATCCATGCCAGCCATTTTCCTTATTATAATGTTTTGGACTGCGGACCTTTACATTCCGAAGGTGAGAGTCTTCTGAACCCTCGAAACTTCTTCTTGAGTATAAAGCCCAGTTGAACCAATAGATTGAATGTGTTTAAAGTTTAATTTTGGCTCTTCCTCTATTTTCAACTCATCTGGAGCTTCTTTGATTATTATGGGGTATGGGCTTAAACCTACCCAACGGTTGTCTATGAAATACAGTGCAGGGGTCAACGTGTTGCAGTCAATTTCTTCTGCTACACTCTGTATGATGTGGGTATTTGGTGTCATGAAATAAGATGTATTCTCCACAGATATGGGCAATTCGTGGTAACACTTTTCCGTTCTCCGCATCTGNCAGCATTAAATAGTTGAACGGTTGTATACCCTTGATTGTCGGTATCCATGCCAGCCATTTTCCTTATTATAATGTTTTAGACTGCGGACCTTTGCATTCCGAAGGTGGGAGTCTTCTGAACCCTCGAAACTTCTTCTTGAGTATAAAGCCCAGTTGAACCAATTGATTGAATGGGTTTAAAGTTTAATTTTGGCTCTTCCTTATTTTCAACTCATCTGGAGCTTCTTTGATTATTATGGGGTATGGGCTTAAACCTGCCCAACGGTTGTCTATGAAATACAGTGCAGGGGTCAACGTGTTGCAGTCAATTTCTTCTGCTACACTCTGTATGATGTGGGTATTTGGTGTCATGAAATAAGATGTATTCTCCACAGATATGGGCAATTCGTGGTAACACTTTTCCGTTCTCCGCATCTGGACGATTTTTGGAAGACACTGCATGATGTACAATACTTCACCGAGTACTCGGCCAATCATTCCTATTCTATGTTTGATGATTGCACTGATCGCATTGGCAACGAAAGGAGCTATGAGCAAACGGTTTTTTAATATTTCTCGTTGTATTTTTATTTTATTATTATATTGAAATATTGAAAGCTTGACTTAATGGTTAAAAATGGACTCCAACCCAAAAACATAGAAAAAATGTTTTTCAAAACCATTGAAAACTAGCTACAAATCTTTGAAATCTTGTCTAATTGGTTGAAAACTGATTCACACTTATTCAAAAACTAGTTAAATTGCGTTACACAAAAATTAAGACTGAACAAGTCGCAACAATTCAATATCATTCTGGAGAAAATTTTGTTATTAGCATAATATGTTGTCATATATCATTTTAAAGAGAATATTTTAAGCTTTAATTCAAGATACAAATGGTTTCTTAATTCCTAGAAATAAACTTGAAGTGATTATTCAAAGTTGACACTTAAACAACTCTAGCATCAATTATTTAATATTTCATCATATTTAAAAAAATGTATATCTTAAAAATTTGATCATTAACATATATGTTACTATACATCATTTTAAACAGGATGTTTTAAGCTTTAATTTATGATATAAATCGTTTCATAACTCCAAGAAATAAACTTCAAGTGATTATTTAAAGTTGACACATAAACAACTCCAACAAAAATTATTTAATATTTTCGTCATATTTAAAAGATGTATTTCTTAAAAATTTGGTTATTAACATATATGTTATCATATATCATTTTAAAAAGGATGTTTTAAGCTTTCATTTATGATATAAATAGTTTCTTAATTCCTAAAAATAAACTTCATATAATGATTCAAAGTTGACACTTAAACAACTCTAGCATCAATTATTTAATATTTCATCACATTTAGAAAAATGTATATCTTAAAAATTTGATCATTAACATATATGTTACTATACNTGTCATGAAATAAGATGTATTCTCCACAGATATGGGCAATTCGTGGTAACACTTTTCCGTTCTCCGCATCTGGACGATTTTTGGAAGACACTGCATGATGTACAATACTTCACCGAGTACTCGGCCAATCATTCCTATTCTATGTTTGATGATTGCACTGATCGCATTGGCAACGAAAGGAGCTATGAGCAAACGGTTTTTTAATATTTCTCGTTGTATTTTTATTTTATTATTATATTGAAATATTGAAAGCTTGACTTAATGGTTAAAAATGGACTCCAACCCAAAAACATAGAAAAAATGTTTTTCAAAACCATTGAAAACTAGCTACAAATCTTTGAAATCTTGTCTAATTGGTTGAAAACTGATTCACACTTATTCAAAAACTAGTTAAATTGCGTTACACAAAAATTAAGACTGAACAAGTCGCAACAATTCAATATCATTCTGGAGAAAATTTTGTTATTAGCATAATATGTTGTCATATATCATTTTAAAGAGAATATTTTAAGCTTTAATTCAAGATACAAATGGTTTCTTAATTCCTAGAAATAAACTTGAAGTGATTATTCAAAGTTGACACTTAAACAACTCTAGCATCAATTATTTAATATTTCATCATATTTAAAAAAATGTATATCTTAAAAATTTGATCATTAACATATATGTTACTATACATCATTTTAAACAGGATGTTTTAAGCTTTAATTTATGATATAAATCGTTTCTTAATTCCTAGAAATAAACTTCAAGTGATTATTCAAAGTTGACACTTAAACAACTCTAGCATCAATTATTTAATATTTCATCATATTTAAAAAAATGTATATCTTAAAAATTTGATCATTAACATATATGTTACTATATATCATTTTAAACAGGATATTTTAAGCTTTAATTTATGATATAAACCGTTTCTTAACTCCTAGAAATAAACTTCAAGTGATTATTTAAAGTTGACACTTAAACAACTCCAACAAAAATTATTTAATATTTTATCATATTTAAAAAAATGTATTTCTTAAAAATTTGGTTATTAACATATATGTTACCATACATCATTTTAAAGAGGATGTTTTAAGCTTTAATTTATGATATAAATCGTTTCTTAATTCCTAGAAATAAAGTTGAAGTGATTATTCAAAGATGACACTTAGACAACACCAACAAAAATGATTTAATATTCCATCATATTTAAAAGATGTATTTCTTAAAAATTTGGTTATTAACATATATGTTATCATATATCATTTTAAAGAGGATGTTTTAAGCTTTCATTTATGATATAAACAGTTTCTTAATTCCTAAAAATAAACTTCATATAATTATTCAAAGTTGACACTTAAACAACTCTAGCATCAATTATTTAATATTTCATCACATTTAGAAAAATGTATATCTTAAAAATTTGATCATTAACATATATGTTACTATACATCATTTTAAACAGGATGTTTTAAGCTTTAATTTATGATATAAATCGTTTCATAACTCCTAGAAATATACTTCAGGTGATTATTTAAAGTTGACACTTAAACAACTCCAACAAAAATTATTTAATATTTTCATCATATTTAAAAAAATTTATTTCTTAAAAATTTGGTTATTAACATATATGTTACCATACATCATTTTAAAGAGGATGCTTTAAGCTTTAATTTATGATATAAATCGTTTCTTAATTCCTAAAAATAAAGTTGAAGTGATTATTCAAAGATGACACTTAGACAACACCAACAAAAATGATTTAATATTCCATCATATTTAGAAGATGTATTTCTTAAAAATTTGGTTATTAACATATATGTTATCATATATCATTTTAAAGAGGATGTTTTAAGCTTTCATTTATGATATAAATAGTTTCTTAATTCCTAGAAATAAACTTCAAGTGATTATTCAAAGTTGACACTTAAACAACTCTCGCATCAATTATTTAATATTTCATCATATTTAGAAAAATGTATATTTTAAAAATTTGATCATTAACATATATGTTACTATACGTCATTTTAAACAGGATGTTTTAAGCTTTAATTTATGATATAAATCGTTTCTTAACTCCTAGAAATAAACTTCAAGTGATTATTTAAAGTTGACACTTAAACAACTCCAACAAAAATTATTTAATATTTTCATCATATTTAAAAAAATGTGTTTCTTAAAAATTTGCTTATTAACTTATATGTTATCATATATCATTTTAAAGAGGATGTTTTAAGCTTTAATTTTTGACAGAAGTCGTTTCTTAATTCCTAGAAATAAACTTCAAGTGATTATTCAAAGTTGACACTTAAACAACTCCAACAAATATTTGCTATTTTCATCATATTTAAAAAAAATGTATTTCTTAAAAATTTGGTTATTAACATATATGTTGTCATATATCATTTTAAAGAGGATGTTATAAGCTTTAATTTATGATATAAATCGTTTCTTAATTCCTAGAAATAAACTTCAAGTGATTATTCAAAGTTGACACTTAAACAACTCTAGCATCAATTATTTAATATTTCATCACATTTAGAAAAATGTATATCTTAAAAATTTGATCATTAACATATATGTTACTATACATCATTTTAAACAGGATGTTTTAAGCTTTAATTTATGATATAAATCGTTTCATAACTCCTAGAAATAAACTTCAGGTGATTATTTAAAGTTGACACTTAAACAACTCCAACAAAAATTATTTAATATTTTCGTCATATTTAAAAAAAATGTATTTCTTAAAAATTTGGTTATTAACATATATGTTATCATATATCATTTTAAAGAGGATGTTTTAAGCTTTCATTTATGATATAAATAGTTTCTTAATTCCTAAAAATAAACTTCATATAATTATTCAAAGTTGACAGTTAAACAACTCTAACATCAATTATTTAATATTTCATCACATTTAGAAAAATGTATATCTTCAAAATTTGATCATTAACATATATGTTACTATACATCATTTTAAACAGGATGTTTTAAGCTTTAATTTATGATATAAATCGTTTCATAACTCCTAGAAATAAACTTCAGGTGATTATTTAAAGTTGACACTTAAACAACTCCAACAAAAATTATTTAATATTTTCGTCATATTTAAAAAAAATGTATTTCTTAAAAATTTGGTTATTAACATATATGTTATCATATATCATTTTAAAGAGGATGTTTTAAGCTTTAATTTATGATATAAATCGTTTCTTAACTCCTAGAAATAAACTTCAAGTGATTATTTAAAGTTGACACTTAAACAACTCCAACAAAAATTATTTAATATTTTCGTCATATTTAAAAGAAATGTATTTCTTAAAAATTTGGTTATTAACATATATGTTATCATATATCATTTTAAAGAGGATGTTTTAAGCTTTAATTTATGATATAAATCGTTTCTTAATTCCTAGAAATAAACTTCAAGTGATTATTCAAAGTTGACACTTAAACAACTCCAACAAAAATTATTTAATATTTTCGTCATATTTAAAAAAAATGTATTTCTTAAAAATTTGGTTATTAACATATATGTTATCATATATCATTTTAAAGAGGATGTTTTAAGCTTTAATTTATGATATAAATAGTTTCTTAATTCCTAGAAATAAACTTCAAGTGATTATTCAAAGTTGACACTTAAACAACTCCAACAAAAATGATTTAATATTTTCATCATATTTAAAAAAATGTATATCTTAAAAATTTGATCATTAACATATATGTTACTATACATCATTTTAAACAGGATGTTTTAAGCTTTAATTTATGATATAAATCGTTTTTTAATTCCTCGAAATAAACTTCAAATGATTATTTAAAGTTGACACTTAAACAACTCTAACAAAAATTAATTAACATTTTCATCATATTTAAAAAAATGTGTTCCTTAAAAATTTGCTTATTAACTTATATGTTATCATATATCATTTTAAAGAGGATGTTTTAAGCTTTAATTTATGACAGAAGTCGTTTCTTAATTCCTAGAAACAAACTTCAAGTGATTATTCAAAGTTGACACTTAAACAACTCTAACAAATATTATTTAATATTTTCATCATATTTAAAAAAAATGTATTTCTTAAAAATTTGGTTATTAACATATATGTTATCATATCATATATCATTTTAAAGAGGATGTTTTAAGCTTTAATTTATGATATAAATCGTTTCTTAATTCCTAGAAATAAACTTCAAGTGATTATTCAAAGTTGACACTTAAACAACTCTAGCATCAATTATTTAATATTTCATCATATTTAAAAAAATGTATATCTTAAAAATTTGATTATTAACATATATGTTATCATATATCATTTTAAAGAGGATGTTTTAAGCTTTCATTTATGATATAAACAGTTTCTTAATTCCTAAAAATAAACTTCATATAATTATTCAAAGTTGACACTTAAACAACTCTAACATCAATTATTTAATATTTCATCACATTTAGAAAAATGTATATCTTAAAAATTTGATCATTAACATATATGTTACTATACATTATTTTAAACAGGATGTTTTAAGCTTTAATTTATGATATAAATCGTTTCATAACTCCTAGAAATAAACTTCAGGTGATTATTTAAAGTTGACACTTAAACAACTCCAACAAAAATTATTTAATATCTTCCTCATATTTAAAAAAAATGTATTTCTTAAAAATTTGGTTATTAACATATATGTTATCATATATCATTTTAAAGACGATGTTTTAAGCTTTAATTTATGATATAAATAGTTTCTTAATTCCTAGAAATAAACTTCAAGTGATTATTCAAAGTTGACACTTAAACAACTCCAACAAAAATGATTTAATATTTTCATCATATTTAAAAAAATGTATATCTTAAAAATTTGATCATTAACATATATGTTACTATACATCATTTTAAACAGGATACTTTAAGCTTTAATTTATGATATAAATCGTTTCTTAATTCCTAGAAATAAATTTCAAGTGATTATTTAAAATTGACACTTAAACAACTCCAGCATCAATTATTTAATATTTTATCATATTTAAAAAGATGTATATCTTACAAATTTGATCATTAACATGTATGTTACTATACATCATTTTAAACACGATGTTTTAAGCTTTAATTTATGATATAAATCGTTTCTTAATTCCTAGAAATAAACTTGAAGTGATAATTCAAAGATGACACTTAAACAATTCAAACAAAAATGATTTAATATTTCAACATATTTAAGAAAATGTATTTCTTAAAAATTTGGTTATTAACACATATGTTACCATACATCATTTTAAACAGCATATTTTAAGCTTTAATTTATAATATAAATCGTTTCTTAATTCCCAGAAATAAACTTCAAATGATTGTTCAAAGTTGAATATTTAAAGTTATTCACAATGATCAGCTGATAAGATGAAATTGAAATGTTTAATGAAACATTTAATAAAAAAATTGCATTCATGATCTTCACGTCAATGAGATTAGATAAAATCAAGCCGATATAATCATTTTAAAGTGTTTTGCATCGTTTTAATATATAAGTGCATTAAAACAAAGTCATATATCGATTCGAAATCAATCGAAATGAGAGTTTTTGTCGTTGCAATAATTTCTTTGTGTTATTTTTTGACCGCTTATGCAGTCGAAGAAGAATGCAAACGTAAGATTTCTTAATTAATTTAGAAGAAAATCTTAAATCCAAGTTTTAGCCGTGCTAACAAATCTTTGGATTCACGATAATTACCTGGTTGGTGTTGAGTTTAACACATGTTCTAATGCGCATAACACAAAAATTAAATGCGTTGTTGGTGAAGATATTATTTATGGAAATACAACCTATACTGAAGGAGCGATTGAATTAAATAAACCGATTTCTTGTGAAGATGATGTTAAAATATCAGTTGTGGCTTATGATGAAGATGGTTTAAAACTTGGTGAATCAAAAATTGCGGATGTTCTTCCTTGTGGGGATTGTAAAGGTAAAGAAATTTTATTTTAAATATAAAACGAAGATTTTTGAAACATATTTTAGCAATTCGACAGGTTAGTTATGATGACGATTTAAAAATAACTGTTCTTATGACTCCGCAACAACCAGAATGCATCGCTAAAAAGTTTAAAATAAAATTATCTATGTATAACAAAATAGAATATATAGATACATATCCTGACGAGTTAAACAATGTCATTAAATTATCGAGTGCGTTACCATGTAAAGCTGAAGTATCTATTGTAGGATATACCGACAATGGTGTACAACTTGTGGAATCACCAATAACAATCGTTCGAAAATCCGATTGTAAGAGGTAATGGTGTAAGCAGTGTCGGATTAATCCTATTTTAAACTTTTTATATCATTACTTTAACCCCTTAACTTATGTATTAGTTAAGTCTAACTCGGGAACATAAAAATTACGAAATTATGCACGCCCAAATAGTTAGATCTTTTAAAATCAAAATCAGGGATCAAATGATCAAACCGCAGATGAAGATGAATACAGCTTGAACACAGTTCCGGTCTTTCTGGACCATGAGAAAGCATCCGATACGGTTAACCATCACAGCATTCATCACTATTCACCATTCTTGACGAACATTGAGCAAATTTATAAAACATATAGCTGCTTGATGATGATGATGATTGATGTAATGGGAATGGCAATGCTGTCAAAAAGCAGCCTTCGTAGCCAAGCATAATATCAGAAGATCACAACAAAAGTTAAATAAATTTGCAACTATTATCGAAAAATAACTTATTATGGAAAACTTTGCTACACTTATGAGGAAAAGGCAGAAAATTTCGCAGATCATCCAACTCAAGCATTCACTCCCTTCAAGAAGTGAATACCAAATCATTCCCAACATGTACCATATCACTTATCAAACAAGCTAGAAACGTATCATAAATATATAAAAAAAAATCATCAATAAGTAGAAAGACGCCAGATGAGCAAGAAAAAAATTTGGAAAACGAGATCAACGTTTCTGATGAAGCGTCTACAGACCAATATTCCAATATTGCTGCTCTCGTTTGAAAGACACCTCCTGTACAATATAGAAACTCTGACAATTGTCAAGAGACAAAAGACAAGAATTCCTAAGAGTTATAATGAAAGGTAAAGTTGAGAAGTTCGCGATCGCTGCTAAATGCAGCACAGGACAAAAAACGATTTGCCGAAATTGTAACCAACCCTCTATGAAGACGGCATCATAAGCAAAAGAAGATAAACATGTTCGGTTGTTGGCTTAAAGAGCTGCCTCCAGTTCATATTTCTTTTCTGTCATGATAACTGCATTGATTACTGATTGTAAATTTCGGTGACTTCACAAGCTGTCCAAGATGTGTTTTAAAATCGTATCTCAAGAACGAATGGAGATATCATCATGAAATAACCAACATTTTAAAGGTAATTTGATGAAGATTTAATGTGCCATAAATAATCTCTTACTTTCCATAAACATAGTTGTTATGATTTTTTAAATCCAAGTCTGCTTGTTGGATTGTTATAGATATGAAATATAAATTTTGACAAATCGTATCTCAAGAACAAATTGAGATATCATCATGAAATAACCAACATTTTAAAGGCAATTTGATGAAGATTTAATGTGCCATAAATAATCTCTTACTTTCCATAAACATAGTTGTTATGATTTTTTAAATCCAAATCTGCATGTTTGATAGTTATAGATGTGAAATATAAATTTTGAAAAATCGTATCTCAAGAACGAATTGAGATATCACCATGAAATAAAGAACAATTTACAGCAAATTTGATGAAGATTTAACGCGCCATAAATAATTTATTATTATACATAAATATCGTTGTTATGGCTTTTTAGATCCAACTCTGCATGTTTGATTGTTATAATTTGAAATATTAAATTAAAGATATCGTATCTCAAGAAAGAATTGAGATATCATCATGAGATAAAAAGCAATTTAAAGCAGATTTGCTGAGGATTCTTAAGATTCTCGGATTCTATTATTCTCTGCATGTTTGATTCTTATAGATATGAAGTATAAACTTTAAAAAATTGTATCTCAAGAACAAATTGAGATATCATCATGAAATAACCAATATTGTAAAGGTAATTTGATGAAGATTTAATGTGCCATAAATAGTTTCTTATTTTCCAAAAACATCGTTGTTATGATTTTTTTAATCCAACTCTGCATGTTTGATGTTATAAATATGAAATATAAATTTTGAAAAATCGTATCTCAAGAACAAATTGAGATATCATCATGAAACAACCAACATTTTAAAGGTGGTTTGATGAAGATTTAATGTGCCATAAATAATCTCTTATTTTCCATAAACATAGTTGTTATGATTTTTTAAATCCAACTCTGCATGTTTGATAGTTATAGATGTGAAATATAAATTTTGAAAAATCGTATCTCAAATTGAGATATTATCATGAAATAAAGAACAATTTACAGCAAATTTGATGAAGATTTAACGCGCCATAAATAATTTATTATTATACATAAATATCGTTGTTATGGCTTTTTAGATCCAACTCTGCATGTTTGATTGTTATAATTTGAAATATAAAATTAAAGATATCGTATCTCAAGAAAGAATTGAGATATCATCATGAGATAAAAAGCAATTTAAAGCAGATTTGCTGAGGATTCTTAAGATTCTCGGATTCTATTATTCTCTGCATGTTTGATTCTTATAGATATGAAGTATAAACTTTAAAAAATTGTATCTCAAGAACAAATTGAGATATCATCATGAAATAACCAATATTGTAAAGGTAATTTGATGAAGATTTAATGTGCCATAAATAGTTTCTTATTTTCCAAAAACATCGTTGTTATGATTTTTTTAATCCAACTCTGCATGTTTGATGTTATAAATATGAAATATAAATTTTGAAAAATCGTATCTCAAGAACAAATTGAGATATCATCATGAAACAACCAACATTTTAAAGGTGGTTTGATGAAGATTTAATGTGCCATAAATAATCTCTTATTTTCCATAAACATAGTTGTTATGATTTTTTAAATCCAACTCTGCATGTTTGATAGTTATAGATGTGAAATATAAATTTTGAAAAATCGTATCTCAAATTGAGATATTATCATGAAATAAAGAACAATTTACAGCAAATTTGATGAAGATTTAACGCGCCATAAATAATTTATTATTATACATAAATATCGTTGTTATGGCCTTTTAAATCCAACTCTGCATGTTTGATTGTTATAGATTTGAAATAAGAACTTTAAAAAATTGTATCTCAAGAACAAATTGAGATATCATCATGAAATAACCAACATTTTAAAGCTAATTTGATGAAGATTTAATGTGCCATAAATAATCTCTTATTTTCCATAAACATCGTTGTTATGATTTTTTAAATCCAAGTCTGCTTGTTGGATTGTTATAGATATGAAATATAAATTTTGACAAATCGTATCTCAAGAACAAATTGAGATATCATCATGAAATAACCAACATTTTAAAGGCAATTTGATGAAGATTTAATGTGCCATAAATAATCTCTTACTTTCCATAAACATCGTTGTTATGATTTTTCAAACCCCACTTTGCACTTTGGTTTTTGTTAATTTTAAAAGCATCAATTTAA